TACATACATACATACATATGTGTGTATAAATATAAAATAAAAATGAGGTTGGAAACCGCCCGCCGCTGGTACTGTATATGTTCCAGTTCCCGACGATGGCCCCGCTTGCATTGGCCCCCGAGCACTGCGGCAGCGGGCGGCGCCGGGCGCGCCACGGCGGCCGTGGCCGGCCGTGGCCTGCCGCGGCCGCGGCGGCGACCCGCGGCCGAGGGAGGCGGCCGCCCCCCTTGGAGGTGCGCCTTTCTCACCTGCAGCGCGTCCGTCGCGCAGCCCCATGCAGCGAGTAGGTTCTGCTCGCCTGCAGCGCGTCTGTCGTGCAGCCCCATGCAACAGGGAAAGGGAGGGCGGACGGAAGGAAGGGACAATGGGAGGGCAGGGAGGGAGGAGAGAGCACGAAAGAGCGTAGCAAGAAGGGGCCAGCAGGAAACACGCGGCAGAACCAAACAGGCAGATCGGGCGGGCAGACCCCAGCAGGCGGGTCGGGAAAGCGGGCCCAAGCGGCCAGGTCGAGCAGGCGGGTTGCTGAAGCGTGCGTCCTGCATGAATCGCGAGGGAGTCTCCAGCGACAGCGCGATTCCAAAATAATCCGTGGGGATCTCCACAGCAAAAACGCAATTCCTCAGTGTCGAAGGCGCGGCGTCTGAAAACAATGCGAGGAAGTCCCACGCGAGAACGTGATTTCTGCATAAATCGTGGGGAAGTCCCGCGCGAGAGCGCGATGCAGGATACGTTATGAAGAGTTATCAGGCGGGAGCCGCTATTGCTGTAAACGGGGGGCCAAGGGCGCAGTTTGGTGGCACCTCGCTCTCCCTTCTAACAAAAGAGAGGGTGCGAGCCCCGGGAGAAGCACTTCAGTTGAGAAATAAGACGGGTACCCCGGAGGGGGGGTCAACAACCATTTTTTTTTTGAAATGAGATTTCAAACACAAGAACCGCAACAATCAATTTAAGACTGTTCGTTCTTATCTGCTCGCGCGCCACTCCACACGTACATCACAAACTTCTGTACCCGCCCTATTCGTTCTCGACCGTACCTCCTTGGGGGTAGATCTTCCTTACCTGCCACGCGCATGTAGTGCAGCCCCTAAAACAAGGGAGGAGAGGAAGGATGGAAGGGGGAGGGAGGAGGATGGAGCACGAGAGGAATGAGCATGAGGGGGTTACGAGCAGAAAACACGTGGCAGAACCGGACGGGCAGATCGGGCGGGCAGACCCTAGCAAGCGGGTCGGGAACGCGGGCCGAAGCGGCCAGGTCAAGCAGGAAGGTTGCTAAAGCGTAAGTCCTGCACGAATCCCGAGGAAGTCTCGAGCGATAGCGCACTTCTCTATCAAATCGCGGGAAAAAACACAAAGCAAAAGCGTGATTCCCGAGTGTCGAGGGCGCGGCGCTTGAAAACATTACGAGGAAGTACCACGCGAGAGCGCGATTGTGGTCCCGCGCGAAGGCGCGATTTGGAATACATGGTGGGGAAGTATCAGCGGGAACCGTTGTTGTTGTTGTTGTAGTGGTTGGCAACAGCGCAGTTTGAGCAGAACGAAATCCCCTGACTCGAAGGACGACTTCACTTGAAAGAGCGCCATGTGCACCAGTGGGGGGGCAGCAATGACTATTTTTCAAGAATGAGAATTCAACGACAACAGCAGCAAACACACCACCACCAACAACAACAACTACAGCAGCAGCAGCAGCAGCAACAACAACCATACCAACACCAACAACAGCAACAACAACAGCAGCAGCAGGAACACCAACAACAACAATAACAACAACAACAATACCAACAGCGCCAACAACAACCACAACAACAACCACGACTAAATAAAAACAGCGTACAACAACAACAGCATCAGCAACAACATCATACAACCACGACAACAACAACAACAACAATTACTAGCACGTGGGGACACACCGTTCTCACCAGTGCCAGGGTTTTCATAGGAGGCGGGCAATACCCCCACTTTGTGGGGGGGCCGGTTCAAGCTCTACCAAATTTCCAAACGACTCTTCGCCACCACCCACACCCAGCTTCCCGCCCTATGACGTTCGGACACTTCACTTCGTGGCATGCGGACGACCGTGGCTACTATTCAGGGCCCCGCGGCCGACGACGACGGCGTGCGCGCGCGAAGAAAAAACGAATGTGTCCCGCATGGTATTATTTGACAGGGATGATGGCCCTGGCAGGTGCGCAACCGTTGTTGCAGAAGTTCGAAAAAGTTGCTCGCAAAAGCCCGTTTGACAGA